TATTATCTAATTGTTTTTATTGTATTGAAATTGTATTTTATGGTCTTGGCACCAATTGTAAACTGCCCCGAGTCGCCTGTGGGCTGAGAGGGACGGTATATAAATATAGTATAAATAAAATAAATAAGTTATATACACTGACAGGAATTCACACTTCCTGTGTCTTCTCCTGATTGGCTGAAAACTGAATGGACTAGTTAGGATCCATGAAGGGATTGCCAAGAGATTTCCTTTGCATCACAGGCAGGAAGAGGGGTTCTCCTTGGCAGGAAGAAGAACAGCTGATCATTGAATAGTTTAAAGGTCCAGTCAGTTGTGGGCAAGTCCCTGTGAAGGGTGTGAAATTGAGGAAGATGATGACATGGATATGCAGATGATTTCTTGTTTGACTTAATGTCCAGTTCTGAAGAAATCAAAGCTGGGGGCACTGAAGACAAAAGGTTATAATGCCAGATATCCAGCGGCTCATTTGCCCAATCAAAAAGCTGATTTATTCATCTTTGCTTAGCCTTGTCTTTCATGGGAATCCTAATCCTCTGGACACATCTGGTTAAGTAAACAGTGTAAAACACAGCCCCGGTGATAAAGGGATGATCTGTCTTTCACTAACACGCACACAAAAAATTCCATTTCTAGTTTTGGGAGATCACTGGAGGCTTAGCGATCTCAGTTCCCAGGGAATTTTTCTAATAGAGGGGCTGGGGAACTGGAAAATGAATGAATGAGAAAGTGTTGGTTTCTAATATATGTAATTTCTTTCTGCTTGTGGGTAAACAGTATTTCTTGTGTTTCTTTGTCAGTGTTGATGTAGAGATTGTCTGGTTGCCTACTCTGGAACATGCAACATATCATTGTCCTTCTTTAGGGGTCCCTTTCAAATCTATGATACTATATCTGTGTGTGTGAATCGCAGCGCTCTCTGGGCCATCCTCCAAAAAATCGGGTGCCCTAACAAATTTGTGAACATCCTGTGGCTCCTCCATGATGGCAACAGTCCTGGACAGCAATGGCTCCCAAAGTGACCCATTTAAGGTGGAATCAGGTGTCAAACAGGGATGTGTTATTGCCCCAACTTAATTCTCCATCTTCATCACTATGATACTACATCTTGTTGATGGGAAGCTTCCCATCAGAGTGGAAATCATCTATTGGCAGATTAATGGCAAGCTATGTTTTAATTCTCCATCTTCATCGCAATGATACTTCACCTTGTTGATGGGAAGCTTCCCTGCGGAGTGGAAATCATCTATCGGACAGATGGCAAGCTGTTTAATCTCAGCAGACTGAAAGCCAAAACCAAGCTTACAACAACATCTGTTATAGAACTCCAGTATGCTGATGACAACGTCGCCTATGCGCATTCAGAAGGAGATCTGCAAGCGACTCTAAACACCTTTGCAGAAGCATACGAGAAGCTCGGCCTGAATATCGAGAAAACCAAAGTGCTCTTCCAGCAGTCACCAGCCAACCCCTTTCCAATGCCAGAGATACAGCTTCATGGTGTAACATTAGAAAATGTTGACCATTTCCTCTACCTTGGCAGCCACCTCTCCACCAAAGTCAACATCGACACCGAAATACAACATCGCCTGAGCTCTGCGAGTGCAGCATTTTTCCGAATGAAGCAGAGAGTGTTTGAGGACCGGGACATCCGTAGGGATACCAAAGTGCTTGTCTATAAAGCTATTGTCCTCCCAACCCTGCTACATGCCTGCGAAATGTGGACAGTCTACAGACGTCACATGCAACTCCTGGAATGATTCCATCAGCGCTACCTCCGGAAAATCCTGCAAATCTCTTGGGAAGACAGGTGGACAAATGTCAGCGTGCTGGAAGAAGCAAAGATCACCAGCCCTGATTAGGTCTTGGATGGGGAATTATTTCAGAGGAAGAAACTGGCAAAGCCACCTCTGAGTCTTCCTTGAGTAGAAAATAACTTGAAATTAATGGGATATGAATGTGACTTGAAGGCATATATGTACGCATGCCCTAGGTAATTTTCAACGGTAAACAAACAGTATCCCCCCCCCCCCAATCACTGATACATATTTTCTGTTCGTCATGGGAGTTCTGTGTGCCATATTTGGTTCAATTCCATCATTGGTGGAGTTCAGAATGCTCTTTGATTGTAGGTGAACTATACATCCCAGTAACTACAACTCGCATATGTCAAGGTCTATTTTCCCCCAAGAGCGCCTCAAGAGCACCCCTGGGCAAAATCAACTATACTGCAAATGATTACTTTGCGTAATGGGTTGAGCCGCCCCTGCACGCACATTCCTACAGACCGTTGGGGATTCCTTTCCTTAAAGACCTATGCAATTCATGAGGTTGCCATAACTCAACTGGTGACCTGACAGCATACTTCCATGCACACACATTCCAGCAAACCTTTGGAAACTGATTATTAAAAAGGAGAATAGCCTTTTATGGTGTTGTATTGACCTTAGGGACTAAATACCCTGAAGGCACCAGATCCCATCTGACCTTGGAATCTAAGTCAGTCCCTGGATGGGATATTGCCAAAGAATCCCAGGTGCTGTCGCCTCTATTTCGGAGGAACGAACTGGACAAATCACTTCTGAATCTTCCTTGCCTTAGAAAGCCCTATGAAGTGCATGGGATCACCATAAGTAGACACATGATCACATACATATCTGATCATCTTGGAAGCGAAGTTGTGTCAAACGTGGTTAGTACTTGAATGGGAGACTACCAAGGTGTTGCCATAGGGTAGGGTGTCGAACACATTTTCATGGAAGGCCACATCAGCCTTATGGTTGCCTTCAAAAGGTCATTAAATCCAAGGATGGCAAATCCGTGGAAACAGAGCGCCAACTTTTTTTTTCACATCATGGTCGGTGCTCTTTAGTTTTATTCACTTTGGGTCCCCAGATATCATTGGATGTCAGGTTCCATCACTCTTGATTCTCCGCCCTGGGGATAATGGGAATTGTAATCCAACAGCCCTTGTGACTATGAAGTTGGGAAAAAGTTAAAGGGTGTTTTAAAGTAAGACATCGTATCCACAAACCTTGCATCTAAATCCAAATCCCACAATTCTGACTGAACAGGACAAATGGCAGATGTTCCTGTATTACGACACCCATCAGCTCTAGTCATGATGTCTAAAGATGAGGAATACAGGAGTTGGAGACCAGCATCTGGAAGGCCACATGAAAAGCAGGATGGATTCCAGCTGTGGGCCTTGCATTTGCCCTATGTATCAACTTTGGCCCTCCGGGTGATTTGGATTACCACTCCCACATTTCCTAACAGCCGGTAAGAGTTGGAGTGGGAGTTGGAGTCCAAAACACCTGGAGGGTTATTTGGATTCTAACTCCCACAATTCCTAACAGCTGGTAGGAGTTGAGTTGGAATGGGAGTCCAAAACACCTGGAGGGTGATTTGGATTACAACTCCCACAATTCCTAACAGCCGGTAGAAGAGTTAGAGTGGGAGCTGGAGTCCAAAACACATGGAGGGTGATTTGGATTACAACTCCTCCAATTCCTAACAGCTGGTAAGAGTTGGAATGGGAGTCCAAAACACCTGGAGGGTGATTTGGATTACAACTCCCACAATTCCTAACAGCCGGTAGGAGTTGGAGTGGGAGTTGGAGTCTAAAACACCTGGAGGGTGATTTGGACTACAACTCCCAAAATTCCTAACAGCTGGTAGGAGATGGAGATGGAGTCCAAAACACATGGAGGGTGATGGATTACAACTCCCACAATTCCTAACAGCTGGTAGGAGTTGGAGTGGGAGTTGAAGTCCAAAACACCTGGAGGGTTATTTGGATTACAACTCCACAATTCCTAACAGCTGGTAGGAGTTGGAGTGGGAGTTGGAGTCCAAAACACCTAGGAGGGTGATTTGGATTACGACTCCCACAATTCCTAACAGCCGGTAGGAGTTGGAGGGTGATTAGGCTTACAACTCCCACAATTCCTAACAGCTGGTAGGAGTTGGAGTGGGAGTTGAAGTCCAAAACACCTGGAGGGTTATTTGGATTACAACTCCACAATTCCTAACAGCTGGTAGGAGTTGGAGTGGGAGTTGGAGTCCAAAACACCTGGAGGGTGATTTGGATCACAACTCCCACAATTCCTAACAGCTGGTAAGAATTGGAGTGGGAGTTGGAGTCCAAAACACCAGGAGGGTGATTTGGATTACGACTCCCACAATTCCTAACAGCCGGTAGGAGTTGGAGGGTGATTAGGCTTACAACTCCCACAATTCCTAACAGCTGGTAGGAGTTGGAGTGGGAGTTGAAGTCCAAAACACCTGGAGGGTTATTTGGATTACAACTCCACAATTCCTAACAGCTGGTAGGAGTTGGAGTGGGAGTTGGAGTCCAAAACACCTGGAGGGTGATTTGGATCACAACTCCCACAATTCCTAACAGCTGGTAAGAATTGGAGTGGGAGTTGGAGTCCAAAACACCTGGAGGGTGATTTGGATTACAACTTCCACAATTCCTAACAGCTGGTAAGAGTTGAAGTCCAAAGCACCCGGAGGGTGATTTGGATTACAACTCCCCCAATTCCTAACAGCCGGTAGGAGTTGGAGATGGAGTTGGAGTCGGATTACAACTTCCACAATTCCTAACAGCCAGTAGGAGTTGGAGTGGGAGCTGGAGTCCAAAACACATGGAGAGCTGAAGTTTGCCCATGCCTGCTATAGGCCATGTTTTAGTGGAAGCAACTGGCCAAACCACATCTGAGGATCCCTTGCCTAAGAAACTCTTATACTCATGGGGTCACTGTGGGTCAGTGCGCAACCTGAAGGCGCATAGACACCCATGGCCCTCCCTGTCTGGCCCTCTTTCCTGCATCTCTGGTGCCAGGCTTCTTTTGGGATGGGCACGGCTTCCTCTTCCCTTGGATGAGAGCCCTGTCCATGCTTTGCGCATGAAGGAGGCGCACGGAGAGCTTGGGATGCACAGCCGGGCCCTTTGTTGTGCTTTGGCCGCCGCAGAAGAATGAGCCACTGTTCCTCTCTGAGCCTCGCTCTCATTAGCTTCGTCTGGAACTGAGTCCTGGAGCCAATTAACAGAAGGGGAAAGAAATAACCCTCATAAATCAAGCAATTATCAGGCTCTTTGGTGGAGTGCCTTTTGGCACAGGAGCCTCCAGGTTTGGGGAGGGGGAAGGAGGCTGGTGAATGGTGAAGGGAGCCGCCTCCTTTTAGTCCCTCCCCTGACACCTTGCTTTTTATAGCCCATCACCAAAGGAAGGGCCAGCTTTTTGGAGCAGTCATCCTCCAAGCTCAGCCTGTCTCTCTGCCTGACTCTCCCTTTTCTGGATTGCAAAGACATCCTTTTCTTCTTCCTTCCCTAAAGATGAAGGCTTCTCTTGCAGCCCTGATGGCAGCCTTGCTCTGCGTGGAGAGAGGTGAGTTGCAATAATAATGATGATGATAATGATGATGGCACAAGCCAGTAAAGGTGGTCCTAGTGGTGCAGTGCCTAAAGCAGTGGTTCTCCATCTTCCAAGTACCACGACTCCTTAATAGAGTTCCTCATGTGGTGGTGACCCCCAACCATAACATTATTTCATTGCTACTTCATAACTGGAATTTTGCTACTGTTACGAATCGTAATGTAAATATCCGACATGCAGGATGTATTTTCATTCGCTGGGCAAAATTTGGCACAAATATCCGATTCACCCAAATTTGAATACTGGTGGGGTTGGTTGGGTGGGATTGATTTTATCACTTGGGAGTTGTAGTTGCTGGGATTTATAGTTCACCAGCAATCAAAGAGCATTTTGAACTCCACCAACAATGGAATTGAACCAAGCTTGGCATACAGATCTCCCATGACCAACAGAAAATGTCGGAAGGGTTTGGTGGGCATTGACCTTGGATTTTGGAGTTGTAGTTCACCTACATCCTGGGAGCACTGTGGACTGAAACAATGATGGATCTGGACCAAATTGGCATGGATACTCAATATGCTGAAATGTGAACACTGGTGGAGTTTGGGGGAAAACAGACCTTGACATTTGGGAGTTATAGTTGCTGGGATTTATAGTTAACCTACAATCAAAGAGCACTCTGAACTCCACCAAGGATGGAATTGAACCAAACTTGACACACAGAGCTCCCATGACCAACAGAAAATACCAGAAGGGATTGGTGGACATTGACCTTGAGTTTTGGGAGTTGTAGTTCACCTACATCCTGGGAGCACTGTGGACTCAAACAATGATGGATCTGGACCAAACTTGGTACAGATACTCAATATGCCCAAATGTGAACACTAGTGGAGTTTGGGGAAAACAGACCTTAACATTTGGGAGTTATAGTTGCTGGGATTTATAGTTCACCTACAACCAAAGAGCATTATGATCCCCACCAACGATATAATCGGGCCAAAGTTCCCACACAGAACCCCATGACCAACAGAAAACACTGTGTTTTTTGATGGTCTTTGGCGACCCCTCTGAAACCCCCTTGTGGCCCCCCCCAGGGGTCCCGACCCCCAGGTTGAGATATGCTGCTTTAGCAAAATTAAACCCCATTGTTTGTCCTATCTGAATCTCCCACCAAACACATTACTCTATTTATCTATCTCAAAGTTTTATAATTTTTATCCCCTGCATTTGGCCCAGCTTACTGTGTCCAACTTTTATTATTTTACCTCATATCATGAGTTTACCCTATCGTAATACTTTGATATTGGTTGCATTTCATTTGTTGTTATTATCTGTATATGTGTTATACTTTGTTTTATTGTAATATCCTGTGTTTACCCCTATCCTATTATTTTGTTATTTACTTTTTATTTGATGTTAATATTTTTGTATGTATTTTACTTACCTATTGTAATTTTTGGGCTTGGCCTCATGTTAGCTGCACCGAGTCCCCTTTGGGAGATAGTGGTTAGGTATAAATAAAGATGATGATGATGATGATGATGATGATGATGATTATCCAAAGAGGACTGTACTTTACCTCCCACAAGGCAACACACTGAATCTTTCCAAAAACTCTGCACTGCAGACTTATAGCTATAGAATTAACTAGCCGTCCCCTGCCACACGTTGCTGTGGCCCACTCTGTTGGTCATGGGGGTTCTGTGTGGGAGGTTTGGCCCAATTCTATCGTTGGTCAGGTTCAGAATGCTGTGTGATTGTAGGTGAACTACAAATCCCAGCAACTACAACTCCCAAATGTCAAGATTCTATTTTCCCCAAACTCCACCAGTGTTCACATTTGGGCATATTGAGTATTTGTGTATAGTTTGGTCCAGATCCATCGTTGTTTGAGTCCACAGTGCTCTCTGGATGTAGATGAACTACAACTCCAAAACTAAAGGACACTGCCCATCAAACCCTTCCAATATTTTCTGTTGGTCATGGGAGATCTGTGTGCCAAGTTTGGTTCAATTCCATCGTTGGTGGGGTTCAGGATGCTCTTTGATTGTAGGTGAACTATACATCCCAGCAACTACAACTCCCAAATGACAAAAATCGTAATTTTTTGAGTGATGGTCACTCCTTGTGTTGTGAGACTTTTTGTTGCCAAATTTGGTGTGATTTCGTTCATTGGTTCTTTTGTTTTTAGGGTACTCATTATGCACAGAGCCTTTTTATATATATAGATGACACCACTTTATGTGCTTTGGCACCAGCCCTCTTGCTGCCACGGTTCAATGTTTTGGAATCCTGGGATTTGCAGTTTGTTGAGGCACCAGCCCGTTTAGGCAGAGAAGGATGGAGTCCTGGTAAACTACAACTCCCAGGATTTCTTAGCAGTGAGCCATGGTTGTCAAAGTGGTGTCAAGCTGCATGCATTCTATGGCACAAAGATGCACCCAAAGTGGCTGTCAAAGTGGAAGAGATTTCTAAGTGCCTGGGGGTAAGAGACTGTGCTTTAGTGGCTGCTTGAGCCACAGTTGCAGCACGAGAAAGAAGCAGTCTGAAAGGTAAGAACATTGAATGAATAACTGTGGAATTAAGGCAGTTTGGCACAACTTTAAGTGTCATGGCTCAATGCTATGGGCACCGCAACTAAAGGGAGATATTGACTCTAAGCTGGAATATGGACTCAAAGGATCAAGGGCCTGGAGAACAAGCCCTATGAGGAGCGGTTGAAAGAGGTGGACATGCTAACCTGCAGAAGAGAAGGCTGAGAAGAGACATGATAAGGGTCATGGATCAATATCTGAGAGGGAAGTCATAGAGAGGAGGGAGCAAGCTTGTTTTCTGCTGAACCTGGAGACTAGGACACAGAACAGTGGCTTCAAACAACAGGAAAAAAGATTCCACCTGAACATTAGGAAGAACTTCCTGACTGTGAGAGCTGTTCAGTAGTGGAACTCTCTGCCCTGGAGGGTAGTGGAAGCTCCTTCTTTATTTATTATTATTTATTTCACAGTTTTCTATACCGAGCGTCCCACATTGAGGGACTCAGCCCGGTTTCCAGCCATAAAAAAACATATACACTCATTAAAATATCATATATCACAATTACAAAAACAACTTTAAAAACACTATATGTAAACACTACAGTGGTCAGTCGTCCTATTAAGATGGATCTACATCAACTTCCATCCAGGGTCCTATGGTGTTGTCTCATTCATCGAAGGCCTGACTCCACAGCCACGTCTTCACCCGTTTCCTAAATGTTAGGATGGATGGGGCGGTTCTGGCCTCCAGAGGGAGAGAGTTCCAGAGTCGCGGGGCCACCACCGAGAAGGCCCTGTCCCTCGTCCCCACCAGGCGCGCTTGCGAGGCCGGTGGGACCGAGAGCAGGGCCTCTCCAGATGATCTTAATAATCTTGATGGTTCGTAGGGGAGAATACGTTCGGAGAGGTAAACAGGGCCGGAGTCGTTCTTTGGAGGCTTTTAAGCAGCAGCTGGATGGCCATCTGTTGGGGGTGCTTTGAATGTAGTTTTCCTGCTTCTTGGCAGAATGGGGTTGGATTGGATGGCCCATCTTGGCAGGGGGTTGGAATGGATGTCCCACCAGGTCTCTTCCACCTCTAGGATTCTATGATTTTAATTGTAGGATTTGTAGTTTTGCAAGGTCTTCAGCCTTCTCTGCCAAAGAGTGCCGGTGTCCCACCAAACTACAACTCCCAGGATTCCCTGGCAGCTAAAGTGGTATCAAACTGCATGAGTTCTGCAGTGTAGATGCACCCTCACTCTCAGAAAAGAGGGGGAAGGTAGGTAAGAAGGCATCCAAAGAGATATAGTAAGATAAGAGCTGGCTGACTCATTCTTTTCTTGCAGGAAATCTGAAACAACAACCTTGACTCTTGCATCACAACACCAGATAGAGGTGTTAGATATGGATTTTAAAGGATAAACCAATTATATAGATATTCAATGACTGCAAACCTTGGATGCACTTTCTGCACAGTAAGAAATCTATCCATTTAATAATCTATAGCTATAGGTGGCGCAGTGGGTTAAAGCACTGAGCTGCTGAGCTTGTTGATCGAAAGGTCGCAGGTTCGATTCCGGGGAGCGGCGTGAGCTTCCGCTGTCAGCCCTAGCTTCTGCCAACCTAGCAGTTTGAAAACATGCAAATGTGAGTAGATCAATAGGTACCGCTCCGGCGGGAAGGTAACGGCTCCATGCAGTCATGCCGGCCACATGACCTTGGAGGTGTCTACGGACAACGCTGGCTCTTCGGCTTAGAAATGGAGATGAGCACCACACCCCAGAGTCAGACATGACTGGACTTAATGTCAGGGGACTACCTTTACCTTTACCTATAGGTATTTGCAATTAATAGGGTTTATTCAGTTGGATTTGCAATGGTAGAACATTTTTGCTTTTTAGATTTTCTTCCATTTCAGTTAAGTCTGAGGTCTGATCGCCCTAATGCAATCTACTTATAGGTCTATAGCTATCAATAAGTAGTATGATCTATTCGCTGGATCAGCAATGATCAAACGATGAAGACGTTTTGTTTTCTTTGTCTCTACTCTTCCCCTTTCTATTTCTTTCTATTTCTTTTTTGACGGCACATGACTCTGTTTGTCAATGAGATGGTAGAACAGTATATTTTCTATTTTCCCTTCATTTCAGTTAAGGTTGGGAGGGGTCAGGATCAGCGTTTCCAAACTTGGGGGTCGGGACCCCTGGGGGGTGTCAGAGGGGTCCTGTAACTATTTTCTGTTGGTCATGGGGGTTCTGTGTGGGAAGTTTGATCCAATTCTATCATTGGTGGGGTTCTGAATGCTCTGTGATTATAGGTGAACTATAAATCCCAGCAACTACAACTCCCAAATGTCAAGGTCTGTTTCCCCCTAAACTCCACCAGTGTTCACATTTGAGCATATTGAGTATCCGTGCCAATCTTGGTCCGGATCCATCATTGTTTCAGTCCACAGTGCTCCCAGGATGTAGGTGAACTACAACTCCAAAACTCAAGG